CCTTCCTTCCTTTGAGATAGAATCTTACTTTATCATTTAGGGGAGAATGCAAAGTCTTGATCACGACTCACTGCAACTTCTACCTCCTGGGCTCAAGCAATCCTTCCACCTCAGCCTCTTGAGTAGCTGTGACTATAGACATGTGCCACCATGCCCAGCTAATTTTTCAATTTTTTGTAGAGACAGAGTCTCACTCTGTTGCCCCAGTGCATCTTGAACTCCTGGACTCAAGCGATTCTCCCGCCTGGGCCTCTCAAAATGCTGGGATTGCAGGCATGAGCCACCATGCTGGGCCAATTTCTGTTGTTTATAAGCCACCCAGTCTATTTTGCTGTAGCAGCCTGAACAGACTAATACAGTTGAATACAAAACCTACCGAGATGGTGCCTCTCCCGTTGCCACTGACTTTGATCTCTAGGTCATCCTGGGCAAGGAACTGAAGAGAACAAAGAGGAAGATTTAAGGATGGAGGAAGCAGCAAAGTGAGGGTCAAGTGTAGGGGGATGTGAGGCCTACACACTCACCAGGGCCTCGGTTATTCCCTAACCTGGGACCTGGTGATTCATTTTCCATCTCTCTCCATGCAGATGGTTTTGCTTTTTCCTCTTCAGAGATCATTTGTGGTGTCTACACTATCATAGATCAACTGGAACTGCTCATTCAGCCTGTTTTGTTTGTTTGTTTGTTGTTTGTTTTTGAGACCAGGTCTCAGTCTGTAGCCCAGGCTGGAGTGCAGTGGTGCGACCTCGGCTCACCTCGGTGCGCCTCTGCCTCCTGGTCTCAAGCGATCCTCCTGTCTTAGCCTCCAAAGTAGCTGTTTTTTTTTTTGTTTTTTTTGTTTTTTTTGGTATTTTTTTGTAGTGACAGGATCTAACTATGTTGCCCATGCTGGTCTTGAACTCCTGACCTCAAGTGATCCACCCACCTTGGGCTCCCAGAGTGTTAGGATTACAAGCATGAGCCACCAAGTCCAGCCTAAGGCTGTGTCTTTTTTTTTTTTTTGAGACAGAGACTCGCTTTGTTGCCCAGGCTGGAGTGCAGTGGCATGATCCCGGCTCACTGCAACTTCTGCCTCCTGGGTTCAAGTGATTCTCCTTCCTCAGCCTTCCGAGTAGTTGGGACTACAGGCTTGTGCTGTCACGCCCAGCTAATTTTGATATTTTTAGTAGAGATGGGGTTTCACCATGTTGGCCAGGCTGGTCTTGAACTCCTGACCTCAGATTATCTGCACGCCTCAGCTCAGGCTGTGTCCTAATGTGCATCCCTGGAATCTGTTCTCTTTGGAGCATTTCCAAGTTTCTCTGTGTGCGGAGCTCCCATGAGCCCCTTCTCACTGGCACCTCTGCACCTCTCTTTATTTTTCTTTGTCTTTTAAAATTGATGCATAATGAGCTGGGTGCAGTGGCTCATGCCTGTAATCCCAGCACTTTGGGAGGCTGAGGCAGGTGGATCATCTGAGGTCAGGAGTTCGAGCAGCCTGGCCAACATGGTGAAACCCCGTCTCTACTAAAAAATACAAAAATTAGCTGAGGGTGGTGGCAGGTGCCTGTAATCCCAGCTACTCAGGAGGCTGAGGCAGGAGAATCACTTGACCCCAGGAAGCAGAGCCTGCAGTGAACTGAGACTGTGCCACTGCACTCCAGCCTGGGCAACAGAGTGAGACTCCATCTCAAAAAAAAATTGATGCATAATGGATGTACATAGTTTCAAGGCACCTGTGATAATGTAATGCACTCATATAATATGTAAAGATCAGATCAGTGTACCTCAGATATCCATCACCATCACCTTAAATATTTGTCTTTTCTTTATACTAAAATTATGCTAATTCTTTTCTTCCAGCTATTTTGAAATATGCAATAGATTATTGTAAGCTATAGTCACCCTACGAATCTATCAAACACTCGGTCTTATTTCTTCTATCGAACCATATGCTTATACCCATTAATCAACTTCTTTTCATCCCTCCCTTTCTTCGTGCACTTCCTATCCTCTGGCAACCACCAGTCTAAGCTCTACCTTCATCTGCAGCTACTCTTGTTTTCCTCATTATAGTCTTCTTGCATCAGCCAGAATAAAATTGTAAAAATTCACAGCCAAACCAAACATAATGGCATGCCTGTAATCCCAGCAATGTGGGAAGCCAAAGGGGGAGGATTGCTTGAGCCCAGGAGTTCAAAACATACCTGGGCAATTTAGCTAGACCCCATCTCTACAAAAAAAATTGAAAATTAAGTCGGACATGCTGGTGCATGTCTAGTCCCAGCTACTCAGGAGGCTAAAGCAGGAGGATTGCTCGAGCCCAGGAATTCGAGTCTGCCATGAACTATGTTTGTGTCACTGCACTCCAGCCTGGGCAACAGAGTAGGACCCTGTCTCTAAAAAACAAACAAACCCTGTCTCAAAAATAACAAAAAAAAAAAAAGGAAAAAAAAGAAAAAAAAAGAAAAAGAAAGAAAAAAATCACAGCCAGTCACTCCAATCTCATTGCCTATAAGATCAAATCTTATTGCCTATAGGATCAAGTCCTAATTCTTGCCATGGCCTCCCAGCCCTCTGCTGAGCTCTGCCAGCCTTCAAGCCTCCTAATAGCCTGCTTTATTTGCTGTTCTCCCTTCTGACCATTCCTGTGCCTGAGTGGCTCCGGGTCTCCACTCTATGCTGTTCCCTATGTCAGAAACACTCTTCCTTAGCTGGGCGTGGTGGCTCATGCCTGTAATCCCAGCAATTTGGGAGGCTGAGGCAGGTGGGTCACATGAGGCTAGGATTTTGAGACCAGTGTGGCCACCATGGTGAAACTCCATTTCTACTAAAACTACAAAAATTAGCTGAATGGTGCATGCCTGTAATCTCAGCTACTGGGGAGGCTGACACAGGAGATGGAGGTTTCAGTGAGGCAAGATCATGCCACTGCACTCCAGCCTGGGTGACTGAGTGAGACTCTGTCTCAACAACAACAACAACAACAACAACAACAAAAAGAAACACTCTTCCCCTCCCTCTGCTTTCTTCATCTTGACAACTATTTATCCAGGGACATCCATTAAACAATGCATGACCTTAGATGAGTTGTTTTCCTTCTTTTCTTTTTTAATAGAGATAGAGTCTCTCTATGTTGCCCAGGGTGTCATTTCTTTTCATTTATTTATTTATTTATTTATTTATTTTTATTTTTATTTTTGTTTTGAGATGGAGTCTCACTCTGCCACCCAGGTGCAATCCCAGGTAACTACAACTTCCTCCTCCTCCTCCTGAGTTCAAGTGATTCTCCTGCCTCAGCCTCCTGAGTAGCTGGGATTACAGGCACGCACCACCATGCCCAGGTAATTTTTGTATTTTTAGTAGAGATGGGGTTTCACTACATTGACCAGGCAGGTCTCGAACTCCTGACCTCAGGTGATCCACCCACCTCGGCCTCCCAAAGTGCTGGGATTATAGGCGTGAGTCACGTCACCTGGCCCATTTTCTTCTAGATCTTATGGAATCTTCTAGATACCATAAGAGCAGGGACCATGGATCTTTCATAAAATAACCTCAATGCCTAGGAAAGTCTTTGATGCATAGTAGATGCTAGGGAAATGTTGATGGAAAAGAAGAATCAATACATTGACAGTATAGCCACATTTCCATCGCTTATGATATCTTGGGGTGTGTCTTGAGGTGGGAGATCAGCAGGGACATGATGCTTTGCCTCATCTCCAATGTTATCTCTGCGTGTACTCTGGCCTGCCTCTTAGTGACATACCTTTGCTGACCGCTGTTGGTAGGCATTGTTGTGATCAATATGCCAATTCACATTCAGGGCTTTCTTGGGGGCGCTGACCTGGACGTGGAGATCCTGGACACCCTGGAAGGGGACATCTTCGCGGAAGCGGGTCAGAGCTTCAAGGGCCACCACCGTGGTCTGAGTGTTGGAATGGGACGGGGAGGTGGGGGAACGTGGATCAGCACCACAGACAGCACTCGAGAAACCATCGGCCGGCGTGTCAGCACCACGGACAGCCACCCACACTCCCGCGTTGTGCTAGTCGCGTCAGCATCTCGGCTAGCGACTCTGGCCCTCACCTCCCGGGGGTCCCCGTCACCTGAGTGGACCCGAAGCCTCCTCCCAGCTCCCGCTTCTCTAGTAGCCACCTGGCGATGGCGTGCGTCTCATTGTACCGGCGCATCTCCAGCTTCTGCATGAGCGCATAGGCTGTGGCCTCAATGGTGTACAGGGAGCCGAGGTTCTGCTCATCCACCGGCCAGTGGGTTTTGTCTAGAAACAGGGACGCCCGCCTTGTCACCCAGAGCTGGGCCCACCCACCGTAACCTGCCCTCTCCTTGTGTCATCTGGCCCAATTTTCTCATCTGCCATCTTATTGATCACCTACTTTATTTTTATTTTTGTAGAGATGGAGGAGTGGGGGTGGGGGAGTTCTCATTATGTTGTCAAGGTTGGTTTTGAACTCCTGGCTCAAGCCATTCTCTCACCTCGACCTCCCAAAGTGTTGGGATTACAGGCGTGAG